AGAGAAGTCAGGGGAAGTGGCACGTGGCCGAGGAAATATTAGGTGCTCTGTTTTGGATAGACTGCGTTTTGAGTAAGTGGTGTTACATCCAGACTGATATGTCAGTCAGTAAGTTAGTGATGTGTGAGGAGACTGATGTGAGTTGAGGGGTAGAGAAAGATAGATTTGGGTGTCGCCAGCGTTGACATGATATTGGAGGCTATCGGCTGACCCAGGGAGGAGGTGTAGCTCCTTGAGAATAGGAGAGGTCTAAGAACAGAACCCTTGGGGGACCCCAACTGAGAAAGGAAGATGAGGAGGAAGTAGAATTTTAAGTGACCATTGAAGGTGCAGTGGGATAGGTAGGATGAGAACCAATGAAGAGCACAGTCACAGATACCATGGAAGTAAAGTTTTTTTTTTTTTTTTTTTTTTCCTCTTAGTACATCGTTTGAGTTTTAGGAGAGCAGTTTCTGTGGAGTGTTGAGGGCGAAATCCAGATTGAAGGGGATCAAGGAGGTTATTCTTAATGAGGTGGTCACTCAGTTGGTTGTAGATCAGGCATGCAAGGAGTTTGGAGGAAAAGGGGAGCAAGGTGCCAGGGTGTAGGTTGAGGTTGGTGGGGTCCAAGGAAGGCTTTTTAAGTAAGGAGAGATTGAAGATGTGAGTTAGGGTGTAGGATAGAGCCAGTGGGTGACTGAAGTATTTGAGAGGGAATAGGGTCCAGGGGAAAGATGGTTAGGTGGGTGTTTAGAAAACAGTTTAGCAACGTCGTCTGTAGTAAAAGGGTTGAATAAGGGTAGTGTTGAGTGTATCTGTGGACATGGGGTGTTAAGTGGGGGAGTTTTCTGTAGAGTGGAGATTTCATCGAGAAATTGTAAAGATGTGATTGGCGATCCCCTGGCTAGTGAGTGAGTTAGTGGGAGGAGGCAGCGGAGGACAAAGAGAGTTAGTTGACGGGACTGGATGAGAAGGTGTTGATGAGAGTGATAAGAGGTGTGCTTGGCAGTGTGGAGGCAAGAATTGTACTTCTGGAGGGCAGTTTTATATTGGTTGAAGTCTTTGTGAGACTTAGTCTTACACCACAGACGCTCAAAAAACACGGCTATGTTTTTTGGGACTTCTGGTATCGTATCTTTGCCAGGGTTGTGGATGTCAGGGCCTGATTCTGTGTGTAGTGAGAGGGGCGAGCTCATCCAGGGCGGAGGACAGGGATCTATTGTACACGGCAGTGGCTAGATTGGGGGCAGGACAAAGGTGTTGTATAGTCATAGAGGTGATCAGTAGCAGAGTGAAGAAAAGAAGGGTTAAAGTGGTGAAGGTTTCTACGTGAAATTGTTAGGTGGTTGGAAGCAGAGGTGCTGCAAAACTGGGATCGAGCGAAACTAATAAAATGGTGATCAGAAAGAGGAAAAAGATGGTTGAAGAGGTTGGATGGAGTGCATAGGTAGGAGAATACAAGGTCAAAAGTGTGGTCACTTTTTCTCACTGCCCCCAGGCACACATGAGGCACTATTCACAAGGTAGTGTCACCACTTGCAGTTTGTCAGCTGACTGATCTAAGTAACCATTCCCACAGATCTGTCTCCGCCTCTGCCTGTGACCTGTACAATATTTCCATGCATTGACGCTAAACTGCATGCAATCAAATTGACTGCCTCTTCTGTCAGCCAAACACACTGCAATCTCACACAGATTAGCAGCAAAGTAAGCATTCAGGCACTAGTAACACAATGCAACCATCTCTGTATTTGTTTCAAGTTCTTTGCTTAAACTGTGTTATTTTTTATATTTAATATCTGCAGCAAGCGGTGCATAGAAAGGTGTACAAAGATGAAAAAAAAATACAAAAAGACAGCCAATCTTTTCTACAGATAATTTTCTATAAAATAAAAGGGAGGAAAAACAGAAATGAGTTTATAGTTCACCTTTTCCGGAAAATAGCCCATGATCCCAGAAGTATGTGCCAGTTACGTAAAAATGATCTGGTGGATCAACAGCTGCCCTTTTACTTTAAAGCCAGGATCCCACAGATAAAAGTTAAAACAAGATCACAGCTGCTAGTGCAGCGTTTTAAACCTGTGCACTTACCAGACACCTCTAAAGAGGTAAACTAGTTAACCGCTTGCCCTGCAGAGGATTTACCCCCCCCCCCCCCCCCCCTTCCTGACCAGGCCATTTTTTGCAATGCGGCGCTGCGTTACTTTAACTGACAATTGCTTGGTCATGCAATGCTGCACCCAAATGAAATTATTCGCACCCCCCCTCACAAATAGAGCTTTCTTTCGGTAGTATTTGATCGCCTGTGCAGTTTCTTGTTTTTTTTGGGGTTTTTTTAATATATATATATATATATTGCAAAAACAAGACAATTTTGCAAAACAATATTTTGGACTTTTTGCTATTAAACATGTCCAGTAAAAAAATTAAGTCAAATTTTGTCATACATTTAGGCTGAGGCCGCAAATGGCAGCTCTGGTAGGGGCATGCGCCCCCTACCCGGAACTGCAAAATCACGTGTGTGTGTGTGTGGTGGGGGAACTCATAATTTCCACTTTAACGGCTATGATGCCTTGTCAAATGACTAATTCTGTTTACAATAGAAATGTTTATGTACGTTTATAATTTCCTAGTCCTTTCTAAAGTACACCGTAACAGCCACATACCAGAACTATGACATTTTGGGGTAACATACACTTTAACTACTACCTGCCAACTTGGCAGATATATGCGGCCTCTTGGTAGGTGGACTTTAATGCTGAGAGAGGGTGAATATGTGGCCCTAGGTAAAAACTAGCGTTCACAGTGCAGTAATTAATGGGTACTGGAAAGCTTCCAATAAATACTTGCAATTGGGAGCTTTCTGATCTTGTGATCGCTGTGACTGCCAATCCTAGCGGATTGAATGCTCGCCTCTACCTCCCGACACTTAGATCCTCTTAAAGTGCTGGGACAGCGATGCAGGAGGGGGTTAAGCCAAGGGACCCTCCAAAAGCATGTCAGTGCAGTGACCTTCTCGCAATGCGTGAGCCCACTTGGCAATGTGGTTGTATCACAAAGTAAAATAACTTTTAAAAACTCAAGATGTTTGGCTCAAATGTGATGACCACTTGTATACTATAGTTGTTGACCAGAATACATTGGCCACACATTTCTGATATTTTTCTTTCTGTTTTTTTTTTTCTGTGTTTCCACAAATAGGACAGTCCATTCAAATAAATGCACCACAAAGGTGCATACATTATTTTTGGCAGTGCATGGGGAGGCATGTTGGTGTGTTGCCACATACGGTGTCGCTGTAACGCATGTCAGTTGAGAAGGTGCTTTGGGCTGCCATTCAAACATGAATGGCACCACTTTGCATTCATGCCTGTGAACAAGTCCTCAGTGATTTTCATAGCTGCGTGTGTGTATGGAATTATTCATGAGCTACCTGATACACATGTAGTTGTACAATTAAGTTGCGCCTAGTTTCTGAAACTAATAAGTTAGGGCAATGTTAAGCCAATGTCTTTTAAGTAATGCAAACACACAAAAAAGTGTATTACTCTATTTATCTTCAGGGCCGCATGATATTAATTTAAATCGCTATTATTTTTGCATAAAGACGATGATGCTACAGATGTCAAAACCAGTCAGTAGTCTCTGCATTAAAGCAGAGGTTCAGTCGGTTTTCTGAAAACTAAGTCAGCAGCTACAAAAACTGTAGCTGCTGACTTTTAATAATCCAGACATTTACCTGTACCAGGATCCAGCTATGTGCTCACCCGAGGGGGCATTGGGGAACGTTTTTGGTGCTCGGCATGGTAACTGTGGGCACCTAGCTGTAGCAGCTTGCGGCTTCACTGCCTGGTGCCCAATGTGCATGTGTAAGCCGTGCTGTGCATTGTGAATGATTCTGCAGTCTTCTGGGACCTGTCATGTGTCTGAGAAGACTGTGGGGAGGGAGGGGGAACAAGAACGTCCACTTCTGATTGTCTAGTGCTTAGAGCAAAAGTGCGAGTGGGTACAGGTCAAAAGCAGCTTGCTATGGGGGCACTTGGAAGGGAGAAGGAGCCAGCAGCGGATCCCAGAAGAGGAGGAAAGGGACTGCTCTGGGCAATACCAAGTATAACATGCTTATTTAAATTTCAAAAAAAACTTTTCAGTAACTTTAATTTGAGAAAACAATTATTGGGCTTTGAAATGTAACAGTATAGTGTTTTTTTTTTTTTTTATATATATACATATACATACATACATACTTTGAAATTTCCACTCGCCAGCTCGCATTGGCGAGTTGAAATTATGGTGGAGGCGAGTGTCCCCATGGCCGTCTTGCTGATCAGGCCGGATCTGTCACTCGCACATATCTTTTTATAACCTGAAAACTGTGCTGAGAGCTGCATGTGACCTACCAGTTTGTAATGCCTAGTTTACCTGGACACTGTTACTGAATCTGTGTTTGTTTTTTGAGACTTTGGTGGTCTACTTTTAGATCATATGGAGCATTGAGAAGGAAGATATCTATGCTTATAATACCGCTATTTAACCAATATAAAGTATTTAATTGTGCAGCAACCCAATAGACGAAATCTACAAACTGTGTTAGTGTATGTTTTTGAGTTATCTTTGTGTAATATTTTATTTTTACTTCTGTTTTAGGGTTTTTTTTCATGTTGGAGAGAGACCAATTTCTGAGCAGGAACATGAATGATTGCTCTGCTGTGCAGGTAGAAATGTTCAACAGCTTGGAGAGTGAGGACAGTGTGAAGGTCAAGTCGTGTTATAAAGATACTGAAGTTTGCGCAAAGTCTTCATCATTCAATTGCCAGGTGGTGATGAGTACTTCTGTACAAAGCCTTCATGATGGAATGGCAATGAAAATAGGAAACTTGCAGAAGTTAGAAATGTCGGATAACCCAACATTAACCATCAAAGAAGAGAGTAGTGACATTGAATACTATCAAGAGCAGCCTGTGTCTAGTATGGAACTCAAATGTAGTATTTGTTCTGAAACATTTCATTATGTTTCAGAGCTGATGTTCCATGAACAGCTCCATAATGGCAGCAGTCGCTTTGAATGCCAGTTATGCGGGCAGAAGTTTCAGAGCTCTTCCAACCTGAAAGATCATTATAATGCCCACACCGGTGAACGACCTTATAAGTGTGAATTATGTGCCAAAGCTTTTACACAATCTTCCTCTTTATTGGCTCATAAACGTACTCATACAATGGAAAAGCCATACAAGTGTGAAGTATGTGGAAGACTTTTTAAAGATGCTTCTAATTTTATAAAACATAGACGTCTTCATGGTGAAACACTAGATCTAGCTCAACAAGTGCAAGCAGGAGGTCTACTTTTGAATGAAAAGCCCTATGCCTGTTCATACTGTGATAAAGCCTTTAAGCGTACTTCTGATTTGAAAGACCATGAGCGTGTCCACACTGGGGAAAGACCTTACCGTTGTAGAATATGTCAGAAGTGTTTCACTCAGTCTTCAGTGTTAACTGGGCATATGCGCATACACACTGGAGAACGGCCATTTCACTGTAATGTATGTGGCAAAACCTTTAACAACTCTTCCAATTTTAAAAAGCACCAGCGTACCCATTCCATGAAGGACATCCTTGCAAATGTTAAAGTAGAAAATAGCTTCTCTCACCAAAAGCAGCCACTTCAAAGTAAAAATGGCATGACCTGCCCAAAGGCCATTGGAGCCATCTTGTGTGACAACAGCTTGAGTAATAATCACCATCCAAGAACATTACCCAAAATGATGCTGGATGACGATGACTGCAAAGTTGTGCTAGAAAAAGGCCCTGTTGAAGTGAATGGAAACAAAGTATTAAGCATGGATGTTTTGCAGTCATCATGTGATGGAATGACTAGTGCCGTGAAAGACAAAGATGCAGCTTTTTCCAAAATGACAGAAACAAAGGCAAAAGCGGTGGTGCTTATTGAGGACGATGTAGTCCTAGATTCAGACAGCTCGCTCTCGAATATTGACACTGAAGCCAAAGGAAATGCAGGTAAAGATAAATTGGAGAAATGCATCCAGCCAAAACTGACAAAGGCTGTGGAATATGGCTATAACACTACTTCATTTATTGTTGAAAAAGTGCAACATGGTTCAAAAGAGCATGAGATATATGTGGAAATATCTGATGATAGCACTACTGATGATGATGATCACTATGAGGATAATGTTGGTGCTCTTGCCAAAAGTTCATTTCAGTGCCAGGATCGAGGTCTCATAAATCCAGCAGATGTAAAATTAGAGTATTCTCACTCTCTGGAAGAGGAAATCTCTTGTGTTGATGAACCTACACAGAATGTAACAAATTCTCAGAATTTAAAAGATGGTATTTGCAGTGTTACAGACCTAGCAGAATCGGATGACATGCTTTTTGAGAGATCCATGCAATGTTGGGATTCCCAGATTGATGACTCTCTCGATGACCAAGATGACTTACAGTTTTTGGAGATGGATCCCAAACCATACATTTGTTTTGTATGTGATAAACGGTTTAAAAGGGCTACGGATTTAAAGGAACATTTGCGAGTCCACACAGGGGAACGACCTTTTTTGTGTGCCAAGTTTGTGGTAAGGGTTTCACGCAGTCATCGGCCCTCTCCAGCCATCAACGCATCCACACCGGTGAAAAGCCTTTTCAGTGTGACATATGCTATAAAAGGTTTAATAATTCTTCCAACTTTTCTAAGCATAAGCGAGTTCACACAGGAGAACGCCCTCACAACTGTCCACTCTGCGGAAAGAGCTTTCAGGAAAAGCGACGAGTAAAGCGGCATATGAAATCTGTTCATCATGTCCAAGAATGAGACAGTATACTGTTTACACACTTACTGACTGTTATACAAAATGTATAATTCAGACAGTGCTGTATTATGAACTATTGTAGCAAGTTAGATAATTTTCTTATGGAAAAGATAATAGCTTTACCAGCTACACTAAGCTTCATGTCATTGTAACTGTAGGAAATTGTTATGCCTTTTAACCAAGCTTTCCCATAAATTATTTTCTAAGTATAAATATTAGTTTTAGATTTTCTGTAACTGGTCTGAAGAATATGATCTGAAAATCTGATGCTTGTGTAAAGGTATAGCATTTGCACAACATTCAGTAGAGGAGCTTTTCTTTATAGAAACCGAGCCCTCTTTTGAGATGTGAATACATTTTTAATCAAAGTAAAATTGGTGTCAAGTATATGCATGCACCAAATGCGTAGATGAGATACGAAGTTTTGGAAAAATGGTCATTTTATTCCACTTTTTTTAAATTTTATTTCTCATGTTCTGATTCCATTTAAAGACTTGACATTATAATTGATAAACTGATGTTCCTACCCTATTCAGTTTTTAAATTTTAGACTTGCTGTATTTGCAGGAATCTTGCAGATGTTTGCAGTACATAACTTTGACAGTCATTGCTAACAAATGCCTTACCCATCTACAGAAGCTGTATGCAGTATTCCACATAATGCTAGAAGTGTGTTTTCTTACAAATGATTTTAGTCAACCAAAGTTTCACATAAAGTGTTAGGAGAACTAGCACCGCTGCAGATGTTTTGGATGTGTGTTTTTTGTATTTTTTTTTTTTTTCCCCTACAGTTTTCTGGCGGGGGGGGGGGGGGGGGGGGGGGGGGGGGGGGGGGGGGGGGGGGGGGGGGGGGGGGGGGGGGGGGGGGGGGGGGGGGGGGGGGGGGGGGGGGGGGGGGGGGGGGGGGGGGGGGGTCTAGGTAAATGGGGTTTCAACACCCATTGCTGAAAATACTAAGACTTTTTTTTATTTTTAGTAGAAACTATTAATTGAAATTTGATGTTTGCCTCAAGCGTAGCGCTACATGTCTTTATTGTAAGCAAAACAAAATAAAAGTTCTTAATAGTGTACAGTGGCCAAACAGTTGGTAAATTTAATGCAACGGCTTATTTAGTTTCTGTACAAAATTTTAATTCGGTTTAGCATACATCCTTGGTCAAAAGTAACATGGGGTGTGCAGTTTAATTATATCCTATTAATGAAAACATGGCACAGTTCACAAAAAGAAAAGAAATCTATATATTTTACTGAAGCAGTACAAACTGTGCTGTTGTGACAATGCATGCATTATTTATTACTTCTAGGGGTGTGCAATAGGGTTTTTCCCCTTCCCTGTAATACCATAACAGTGACACTTTTAGGATGACTAACTTTAGTAAATGTCTCCTTAGTGAACTGTCTCAGATTTGTCAGAAACCATATTGAGATAAAACTGACTTGTGGAAAATAGACTTAAGGATCCACCATTTCAAAGATCCAGTGCAGGCAGTGGCTTTGTGTTGATGACTGCATAATGAATTACTGACCTCTTTGGGTTCAGTTCACTGTGGGAGAACCCTGCTGCTGGATATCGCCTCCCCCACTTCCTAGTGGAAACATTTCCAATATAATGCCATAATTTTGGTTTCTTCTATGACTATATTTTTTTTTTTTTTTTTTGTTTCACAGCTGAAAACACCGTTATTGCATGCCTATTTATTTTCACAAAAATTTTAACATTATAAACTGTATTAAATAAAACCTTTTTATACTAGGATCTAAAGATTCAAGTTGCCAGGATATTTATTTGTTGCATATTCTGCATTTGATTGCCCCAAACACTGGTATTTTTAGCAGGTGGATGTTAAATTTCTATTATCTTTAATTCTGAATTTTTTTTATTCAGGTTTTGATATAAGACTTATTCTTTTCAGTTATATTTGTCTATTTTACTAAATACAAATTAGCATACCAAAAGTAAGATGAAGTGCAAGTAGCTAGTTATGTTGTGTGCCCTTAATAAAAACTATATCTGGTCCCTAAGAAGATAATGTAATTTTAATCTCTTGTACTGTACCCAAGGATCATAAACTTTACAAATCTAAACTGCTGTATTTGTGGTTCAGGGCAGTCCCTACATATGACCAAGGATAGTGTAACTGACTGCATTGTTTACTTTTATCCTGTCTGCTTTGCAACATAACTGTAGATATGGACTGGGAAAGTCAACTCCTCATACCTCTTTGACAAAATGTCTTAATGCACAAAGCCATAACTGCTTTCTTTGCTGAACTTGTAATCTCTGGAGATCGGAAGTAGTTATCTTCATAAATTACAGAAACCCTCTAATTAAATGGCATGTGATTTTTCATTCAGCCAGTTGTGGAAATCGGAATCTGAAGGGATCACTGTTATGTGCCTAGTTCTCAGGCCATGATTATAGATGCATGCTTTATACAGTTTTGCCCAAGCTAGATAGGTACTGCCTGCTTTTGCAGTTTGTGATCTCAAGTGCCCTCATATCCTGTCCCACTGATGACCTTCACATTGCTGAGATTGCAAAAGTGTGTGGTTTTCTTTTTTTTTTTTTTTTTTTTTATGTCATGGATGAAGTCATCTGCCCAGCAGAATGGCCTGATGCAATAACTTCTCCATTATACAGGCATGAAGAATGGATATTTGCTTAGCATTCTAGAAGATTTCGAAACACATGGCACAAACCAGTGCCTATTCTGTAACATAAACCGATAATAGCAATGTATACAAATAGAGTTCAAAATGTTTGCTTCATATGGTTTTCGATCTAGCAATCCAAAGTTTTTCAGACATTGACAACTTGCAAAGCTTGCTAAATGGCTTGTCACTGTTGTCAGCAGAATAGAAAGTTGAGGGAACTTTCTTAAGTGGATAGCAGTAAAAATCAGGCAAGTCCTAAACCTTTCCTGCTCTATCTGAACAGAGAAAGGACTTTTTCAGAGTGCCATACACTTTAACTAAGTCCTGGTCTTCTGCTTATGTCACTTCTATATCATATCTTTTTATTTAACATCTACCGGGCTTGCAGAACTCTTCATATTGTATCATCGGTGGACCAGTAGGTGAAGCTGCCTCTGAATGATGCCCTTTAGCTAGATGACACCGGAAACTTGGAGACAACCTCAAAATATTGCTTGTGGATAGATTAACTAAGGCAAGCTATATATTATACAGTTTTCATGGGGGAAGGAAAGAAAATATGCCCCCCCCCCCCCCAACACAATTTTTTTTGTGTTTTGCAGGTGGCAGAACAAAAAGATAGCTGCCAGTTATAGCTGGCACCACTAATTGGGGAAAAACCCAACAAGCAGATCGACTTGTGTACAGCCAGGTTGCCCATACACGGATGGAAAATCTCTTCCCTGCTGAACCAGTAACATGTATGGCCAGCTTTTAGATGATTCTGCTTGCTTTAAAAAAAAAAAAAAAAAAAACCCTCCTAAAAGTAAAAACTATTATTCTTAATCCAGTGTTAAATTCAGAGTTGCTGTATACTTTTTATCTGCACTAACTGTTCATTTCTCAGGATGTGCTTTTAAGAGGTCTGCTCTTTAACAGGTACAGATTCAGAGGTTTACTAAATCTCATACAGGCTTTAAAATGTTAGTGTAACTAAAGGAAAAACCTTTTTTCTAGTTTTAGACAGGGTGGAGAGGGATTAGAACACCTGTCGGCTATTATTGAGGTCTGTTCCTTTTTGTTAGGGAGATTCACCCTCTAATTGTACAGTATCAGTGAAAGTAAAATTTTGGGTTGACACCAGAACAGTAGTACAGGGAAATCTGCCAGTAGTGACACTAGTTCTGGTGACACCCTGGGATTCCCTCCCTTTTTTTGAAAGGATTTTCTTTCACCTGTTATGGCTATGGGACAGGAAGTGAAAGGAAATCTCCCCTGTGGGACACAGATGGCAAGAAACTGAAAGGGGGTTATAACCCTCCCTTACTCTATGTAGAATGAAAAAGAAAAGTGTTGTCTTCAGTTCTACTTTACTAATATTGAAAATTACTTTTGAAATCAAATTAAACATGTAGCTTTCATTATATTACCTGATGCTGCGCTAAAGGTGCCAATTGTGCCCCCGTGTTCTTACACAGGCTTCCAATGGAGATTGTAAGTAACCGTTTCAACATGCGTTATGCAGGCATGGTCTTCTGGTGTCGTCATCGGCTGTCCTGAGAAATGCTATGCAGTCCGAAAGTGGCTGCTACAAAGGCTTTAGGAGGACAGCAACAATGAGGTGCAATGAAGAATAAATAAAGGTATTGTATTTTTATTTTATAAATGGAAATTGTTTGATACACACAGATGCACCCCATAAAATTGATATTTTTTGTTGTTACTCATTAGAAATGTATTTGTAGTACAAAAAAAGTTGCAACTTACAACAATCTCATGTAAAGTGTCAGTAAGGTGGGCATGAATCCTTTGCACAATTGTCTCAGAAGATAACCTATGAAACCATAGGTATATTTTAGATGCAGGAGAAATGGATTTAGTAAGTATGAAAGAGTAGAAATGCACTCCTGTCACCACAGGAAACCGTACTTGTAAATGGCAAGCATGCTGTTTGGGGGGGGAGAATAAGCCCCCAAAACACATTGCCTGAGGTTACCACTCTAAACAAGCAGAGGTTAACATATCATTAAGCTGGGCTGTTGTCTCTGGGTGTGAGGAGAAGCACAGAAGTGGGTATGCATCATCCTTTTCCTGGTCACATAGTAATCTGGAGGTGGAGGGGAGGACTGACATATTGCATGATCTGCTGACCTCAAATGACTGCTCATCTCCCCTGCATGCTGGCACTCTACCCTGTGCGCATCACTACTGTGCTTTTGTTTCATTAAAGGAAATGTTCCCCTTTTGGGAACATGTTCCAGCTATTTTTTTAGGATGGAACGTAACACGTTTCCAATGCTGCTCCCACAGACTGGCTATGTGATACACAG